AAAAAAAAAAAAAAAAAGGCTTGCAATCCTATTGCGCATGTAAAAGAAACTCAGAATACTTTGCTATTTTCTATGGAAATTCTCAGGGGTACCAGAGTGCTAGGATTACAGGCGTGAGCCACCGCGCCCGGCCTTTGCCTTCTCTCTTTACCTTCCTGTTTCCTCCACCAACTTATCCCGTCCCCACCTTCCCAATGTGCCCTTGGAAACTTTTTTTTTTCCCTTGAGTTATTATGCAGAGAAAAATACTTACCTCTGGCTCACTGGTCTTCCTTCTGAACAATATCTCAGAACCTATTTTATTTTGTTTTACCTTTTCTACAACCAAGTGGCTCTTCGAGGCATTTTGCCAAGAAAGAGACACTTCCCTCTTAAGAGAAAATTCATCAACAGCTCTAAAAATAAAATTTTGCCACTTCCTTGCTACGTTAAAGTCTATGTCACATCCAGATTTTAGTAACTAATCAGCATTACTTTCATAGTATTGCCAAAATAAGGCTATATTTTGAAAATCACTGAGTAAGGAGACATAAGACTCAGTATGGCCAGATTTTAAATTCACGTTCTTTCCATTGTTTTTTGGTAAATTCTGCATATTGCCTCCTGAGGAAAAGATCCTTTCCCACAAACAGCCTTATCATATTCCTCTGTGGAATTGTTTTGGGGGTAGAGTAGGCCTTTATTTCCAGGAAATGTAAGTTAGCTGGAGATGGATATTAAAATTAAGATAATAAGCCTGAGGTTGCATGTAACATGTGCAAACAAGTTGGGCATTTGGGAAGAGGTGAAGGGACAGCTGACTAGCTTGTCATCTTTGCCACAGCCAGAAATTCACACGTGGACACAAAACCCAGGAACACTGAGACAAAGTTGTTTCTGGCTTTGCTTCATAAACGTTCATTTTTGGCCCCCTTGTCACATCTCAATGCTACCAAGCTTCTTCCTTTGGCTCTACTCGATGTCTTAGTTCATTTTTGTGTTGCTATAAAGGAATGTCTGAAGCTGGGTAATTTATAAAGAAAAGAGGTTAATTCGACTCATGGCTCTGTGGGCTGTACAAGAAGCATGTGACGCTGGCATCCGCTCAGCTTCTGATGAGAGCCTCAGGAGGGTCCCACTCATAGTGGAAGGTGAAGGGGAGCTGGCGTGTGCAGAGATCGCATGGTCAGAAAGGGTAAGGGGTGTGTTGGGGGTGGTCTGGGGGTGCCAGCCTTTTTTTTTTTTTAACAACCAGTACTCGTGGGAACAAATAGAGAACTTGCTCGCCGCCAAGAGCGTGGCAACAAGCCATTCATGAAGGATCTGCCCCAGTGACCTAAACACCTCCCACAGGCCCCACCTCCAACATTGGGGATCAAATCCCAACATGAGGTTTGGAGGGGACACACATACAAACTATAACTCTTAGGAAATGAGAGTTGGTAAATCCTTGTGGTTTTAATGTTGACAGCAATTCCATAAATTATTCGAAAGTGGCTTGCATTTTCTACCAGATCATTTAATCCTCCCTCACATCCTATCTCAAAGAGAATGTCCTTTTCTTTTTTGCAAAGTTTGCTAAGAAGTTCTCAGACAGGTCAGTTTTGATACAACGGCCAATGATCACGGAAGCCTACTACTAGGTACACTTCTAGACTTCTGAAATGATTATAATCTGAAAACGATTTTATGGGATTGAAAAATAAAGCACGTTAACTGCATTACTATGCACCGACTGGCTAGTCTACGTCAAGGTCACCACACAACTTCATGTAGTGACATCATAAGACAAAAGGTGTGCCTCCAGGGGTGTGTGGCCTCGACAGCCCCTAGGAACTGCGCTAGCCTGACTCTTCAGCCCTCAACAGCAGGGCCAGTGCTAAGCATTATAATTCTTTTTTTTTTTTTTTTTTGACACTGAAATACATTTTATTAATAAAGAATGTTGAGATAAGCATACCAATTTAAATATAAAAATGTTTGTAAATGCGACAATCATTACACTAAAACAGATGACAATCTTATTCAGTTATTTTATAGAGCATTTAATTAATATTTCCTCTATTTATTCCTCCTCTACCTCCCATTGCATGGCTCACACCTCTCTGTCTGTTAAACTGACGACCACGGACGCCTTGTCTCAATGTTGTCTGAAGTCTTACTCATCTGAAAGGCTTTGGTTGACTACTGCTAGTATCTACAGAAGAGCTGGAAGGAGGATCCTGGCTGGTCGAAGGGAGATCTGACTCATCAGATACCTGAACAGGCTCTTCTTCCTGCTGGCTGTCAATTTCTAGGCCTGCTTCTGAACTAATACCTTCGGATTCTGCCTCCACAAATACTTCATCTCCATCATCACCTGTTGCTGTTTCATTTGTTGTAGACAAAGTGCCAGTGGATGTTGTCACCATTGGAACAGACTGAGAGGCATGCTCTGAAGCATCAGAGGTGGTACTCTCAGTAAATACAGTCACTGGGGCTGCTACTTGTAGAGGAGTAGTGGGAACACTTCGGCCACCTGACTCTTCTTCATGTGCAAGGAAGAGGGGTGTTTCATACATTCCTAAACCTCCTTGAGAAGCAAGCTGGCCAAGATCAGAATGACTAGAACTTGTCTGTGGCATATCTTCAGGTGGCCCAAACCGGAATCTAGGAACACCAGCAACCTGTGGGGAATGAATTGCTTCAGCAAATCCATCAGTGCGATGTGGCACCACAAGAGTTGGTGTACTTGGAACTGTTCTGTCTTCATCATCAAAAAAATGCTGCTGCATGCCACCTATTCCTGGAGTCAACTGAAGCCCACGTCCTACAGACTGCCTCCGGGTCATCTGAATTCTCTGAACTGGTGGTCCCAACTCTTGAGGTGGAGCATGAATGGTCAGTCGTGGGGGAAGCGGATGTGGTGGGCATCTTGGTGACTGAGGTGCTCTAGGGGTCTGTCTTTCAGATGCTGACGATGGCTGCTGTTCTCTAGAGACCTCCTGGGAAAAAGAAGATTCTGCAGCACCTGTATTTCCTTCACCACTGTTTTGAGAATCAGCAGCTCTCTGATTACCTTCACCTCCACCCACGCTTTCTTCTGTTTCTGTGCCTGGGTCAGTCCCATCACCACCCTCAGCATCATCAGCTTCATACCCATCATTGCCATCTGCACTCCCAGTTCCTTCATTGCTATCTTCACCCTCGTCTCCCATCCCTGTGTCATCTTCATCATCATCATCGTCTTCTTCATCTTCTTCATAATCCTCATGTTCTCCATCGTTTTCATCATCATTCTCTTCTTCATCATCACTGTCAATTACAATGACATCATCTCCTTTGCCTTGACCATCTTGGAATTAAGTTGTTGTTTGCTGATCTGACTGAAGTGGTCCAAGATCTATTTGCAGAGATTGAGAGGTTTCTTCACTGTCTTCCATAGGTGTATAATCTCCCTGGGTTACTCTTTCTCCTATGGAATCTAGAAAAAACAAGAAAGGCTATTGTAGCAGGAAAATCAAAAATTGCGCACTTAGCTGGTGTAAAAGATCAGCTAACTAAAGAAAATGAAGAGCTTAAACAAAGGAACGGAGCCTTAGATCAACAGAAAGATGAATTGGATGTTCGTATGACTGCTCTTCAGTCCCAATATGAAGGTCGAATTAGTCGCTTGGAAAGAGAACTCAGGGAGCATCAAGAGAGACACTTCGAACTGAGAGATGAGCCTCAAGAACCTTCTAATAAGGTCCCAGAACAGCAGAGACAGATCACATTGAAAAAAACTCCAGCTTCTGGTGAAAGAGGAATTGCCAGCACATCAGACCCACCAATAGCCAATATCAAGCCAACTCCTGTCGTGTCTACTCCAAGTAAAGTGACAGCTGCAGCTATGGCTGGGAATAAGTCAACACCCAGGGCTAGCATCCGTCCGATGGTTACACCCGCAACTGTCACAAATCCTACTGCTACCCCAACAGCTACAGTGATGCCCACCACACAAGTGGAATCACAGGAAGCTATGCAGTCAGAGGGACCTGTGGAACATGTTCCAGTTTTTGGAAGCACAAGTGGATCTGTTCGTTCAACCAGTCCTAACGTCCAGCCCTCTATCTCTCAACCCATTTTAACTGTCCAGCAACAAACACAAGCTACAGCTTTTGTGCAACCCACTCAACAGAGTCATCCTCAGATTGAGCCTGCCAGTCAAGAGTTATCCCCAAACATAGTAGAGGTTGTTCAGAGTTCACCAGTTGAGCGGCCTTCTACTTCCACAGCAGTATTTGGCACTGTTTCAGCTACCTCAAGTTCTTCTTTGCCAAAGCGTACACGTGAAGAGGAAGAGGATAGCACCATAGAAGCAGCAGACCAAGTCTCTGATGATACAGTGGAAATGACTCTTCCAAAGAAGTTGAAAAGTGTTACACCTGTAGGAACTGAGGAAGAAGTTATGGCAGAAGAAAGTACTGATGGAGAGGTAGAAACTCAAGTATACAACCAGCATTATAATTCTTATCCAGATGTTTCCTGGTTTTACCAGCTATGGATACAAAATAGAGTCAAGTAAATTTGGTAAAATCTTAATGTCTCTGAGATCCCTCCATCTGTATCGGCAGGAACTCAGGACCCCTGACAGTGTCCCTGGTCATCTTTACAAGTTTCCTACAAGGGTTTTACATGTGTCCACAGAGCAGTTGCTCATTTGGCGGTCTCCCATGCTCTTTCAATCTCTTAGTCTAGCTCTGACTTTTCTCATCGTCTTTGTATGCTAGCTGTTTTCTGGTAATAAATATATTACGTGCTGGGTAGTATTTTATAGGTCATACAGATATTAAGTCATTTAATTCTTACAGCTATACTACAAGGTAGGAACTGTTATTATTCCCATTTTACAGATGAGGAAACTAAAGTCCAGAGAGAAGCCAGTGAGGAAGTGGTAGAATCCAGAGTCCTTGCCTTTAGCCATGTTGCTACTTGCATGTTATAGTCATGTTGTGGTGTTGGCTTTAAACTCTAAAGGGCGAGAACACAGGCCTTGACATGAGTCACGACAGGTTCAAATCCAAGCTCAGCCACTTAATCATGTACCTTTGGCAAGTTACTTAGCTTCTTTGACCCTCAGTATCCTCATCTGTAAATGGAGAAAATATTAGTACTTTCTTCATCAGATTGTTTTGGGTATTAAATAGAATAATGCATGCAGCAACATGAAATGGAGTTCCTGGCACGTCGTAACCATAAATATCAGCTCTGAATATGATAGCAGGACTAATCCTCCTAATAATTTTTACAGATTAGGAAACTAAAGCTTGGAGAAGTGAAACATTTGCCCAAGATTAAATAGCTTTATAGAGACAGCGGCTGGGCTTGCAACTCATCTCTGTACTCCAGCTGTGCCATCTCGCTGACCGTGAGCTCCATGGATGCTGAAGGCCCTGAGGAAGGTACCGTGTCACATGTGGCTTTGATTAAGAAATGCCCTATCTTCTACACAATTACCTGTGATAAGAGCCACGTGTGCAAAGTTCCAAAGGCGTGAACTAAATGACGTGCAGCTGGAGTTCTGAGCTGAGCGGCGTCACATGGCTGTGAGCAGAAATCGTTGCTGGGTAGTCTCAAACCATTGGCTGGGAGCCTAAATCTTCATTTCACCTCTTGCTGTGGAGCTCTTGTTTTTCTTTGAACCCAAGAGTCCAACTCCACGTGTAATATAATATCATGTAAATGAGGGTAATCTTGGAAGGCTCTCTGCTTGTCATACTGCAGTGGCTTTGTTGCTGTAATGAAAACCACATGCTCCATGGTATTTTTAGGCTAGTTAATATTAGCAGGTCAGCTGCGTTTTTATTTAGATATTGCTCTTCCAGCTGTGCTTTTTCTAGTTACTTCAAGAGGATTTCAGAATTTCTAGCAAACCATAAGGTTTCAGGAGAGTGGAAAATCAGAAGAAAATGGCCAGCACTTTGCACTTGGCTCTGTGGTTTCCACGTGGAATTTGCATTTGCTTCCCTGAGTCCGTGTGAAAGAAGAAGTGGCTGACCCAGGGGCCTTGCTTACAAAGGGTGGTGGAACAGATAATAAGGTGGAATAAATCACGAGAAATGGCTTGAGTTTTCCTGGCACTAAAAGAAAAGAGTGGAAAAAGAAGAAGGAGGAAGGAAGAGGAGCATGCCCAATCCTCTTACTGAGTTCTTGAAACTTACTGGCATGGTATGGCCATGACAATTACTATTTTTGTTGTTTTTTGAAAAGGAATATCATTCCTTTCCATTTCTGAGTCCTCTTTGGAGTCCCTCGAATCTTTAACTTTGCTTCCCAGAGACAGTTTTGTATTTCTAGGGAAAGCTCTTAAATCACTTTCTTCCCCAACTGAATTGGGCTTCTACTTCTCCATCCGACATTAAATATCCAATGTCTCTGTGACCAGAAGGATTAAAATGCCACTTCTCTCTCTCTCTCTCTAGAGGGAAACTGGGGCAGGCAGAGGACGTTGACTCCCAACCTAATGATGCTATTAAGAGCAGCGATCTCTGCCGGGCGCGGTGGCTCACGCCTGTAATCCTAGCAGTCTGGGAGGCTGAGGCGGGCGGATTGTTTGAGCTCAGGAGTTCAAAACCAGCCTGAGCAAGAGCAAGATCCCGTCTCTACTAAAAATAGAAAGAAATTAATCGTACAACTAAAAATATATAGAAAAAATTAGCCGGGCATGGTGGCGCGTGCCTGTAGTCCCAGCTACTTGGGAGGCTGAGGCAGGAGGATCGCTTGAGCCCAGGAGTTTGAGGTTTCTGTGAGCTAGGCTGACGCCACGGCACTCACTCTAGCCCGGGCAAAAGAGTGAGACTCTGTCTGAAAAAAAAAAAAAAAAAAAAAGAGCAGCGATCTCAATCGTTAGGGTAGGTCTTTGTGGACCTAAGGGGTCGATTGATGGGCGTTTTCTCCTCTGCCTGGCAGGCTGGAGGAAAAGGGGTAAAAGAAAGGAATTATCAGAGTTCCTCGGAACAATCTCAAGGACAAAGACCTGTCTGCTGAGGATTAGGTTAGTTTATGCCAGGCTCATGCAAACAACAGCCCAGAACTCTCTGTTGATAGAGGATAGGGCTAGTGAGATTCTGTTTTGGCATATGCTTTTTTAAAACCAATATATCATGACTATATGGAGTCCAATCAATAGCTATAAACAGAAAACTCTCTCATTTTCTCTGCCATGACCACCTTGAAGATGTATTCTGCTCAACCTCACCTGCTCGTCTGCTTCTGTAGTCTGATCATGTTCAAATAACAAAAATGAGTCTTATGTTGAGGATTATGACTCCTCTGTAAGTATTAGAAGACCCAAGAGAGTCTAAGTCAAGGATTCACTCTCAAATCCAATTCAAATCTTCTCTCATTTCCACAGCCCAGGCCTGACCCTTGCTGGGTTTCCCAAAGTGGGGAAGGAGGGTCTGCCGTATGGTCTGTTTGTTCACTTTTCCCAACTCCTCCATCTCAGTTTGCCTTGCTGCCTTTGGCTTCTCCAGTGCTGGGGAGTGGAGCAGGAAGCGAAACGGAGGAGAGACAAACAGTCTTTTTATGTGTCTGGGACTCTTTGTGGCTCTCTCTTTGACTGGCATCGCCCAGGTGCTGGGCCCTTCAGTACACATTTCTATGCTGTGCGTCGGGCCTTTTCTGATGTACTAGTTACTGATATGGATATAGAGTCTCCAGCAGACCCCATGCGATCCAATTTCCTCCTTCCCCTCCAGCTCCTGGTCGGGTGGTTTATCTCCAGCCTCTTACTGCTGACAGCTCCTTGCTTTGGTAGGCCACCCTCCGGAGTGGGATCCTTCCAAGACGATTCAAGATAGATTCCACTGTGTTCACCAGGCTCCTGGGAACTCCTACATTCCTGCTCCATCACACTAAGAAAATGCAGGATGCTTTGTCTGTTGCCTCCATCCTCACCTGTCCTCTTGGGCAGCTCCAGGCCAGGTTCCTGCCCTCAGAAATAGTCTCAGCATGAGGCAGGCTGTGGTCTCCGCTCAGCTATGTCTTCAAGTCTTGAAAGACACATGTCAGGTTCTCCCATGGGTAGAGGAAAAGAGCCAAGTGAGCTCTGTTCTTAGGAATTCCCTTCAATAAGCTCTTTTAGGGACTTTTAAGTCTTCTTCGATATGCTCCAGCAGTGAAAGACCAATTGGGGCACCTTTTAGTAAGCTTGGTATCCAGCAGTTCTCTGTAGGACTGGGGAGGAAGGTGCTTACTACTTACTGTTTTCACGTTAGGGACCCCAACCAACATTCAGAAACAGCAGGAAAAGTCCTATTGCAGCTAATGGAAATTTGTAGGTTGGAAGTTCATAAGGAGCAAACTTTCTGTGCTGACTCCGCTTTGAAACTTCCTCATGAGTCATTTAGAAAAATATTTCCACATCGTACTATCTCTGGAAATTAGACTTTGCTCTCAG